ACCCTTCGAGACTTTGGGCTGTGGTGTCTAGATCAAAGAACAAGGCAGGGCTTCCCTGGTGGCGCAGTGGTTGAGAGTCCGCCTGCCGATGCGGGGAACACAGGTTCGTGCCCCAGTCCGGGAAGATCCCACGTGCCGCTGAGCGGCTGGGCCCGTGAGCCATGGCCGCTGGGCCTGCGCGTCCGGAGCCTGTTGTCCGCAATGGGAGAGGACACAACAGTGAGAGGCCCGCGTGCCACCAAAAATAAACAAAAAAAACAAGGCAATGGAATTCTCTGGGTCCTTGAAAAAGTCAGCACAGAAAGTGTTTGCTCCAGGAGTATTCCAAGAAGTTTGGGGGTGAGAACTCATTTATAGAGCACCTACCATGGACTGCTACAGGCTGAACCGAGGTCTCTTATTTGATTTTCACAACAGAAGAATCAAATTTTACAGTTGAAGACATTCTAGAGACTTAGAAAGATGATGGAATTTGCCCCCTGGCACACACAATGAGTCGCCTGGGCAGGATTCAAACCCAAGTCTGTGTGTCATCTCATCCCGTCCACCATCCTTACGCTAACATGAGCATTTGGGGTGAAATTCCCACCTGCTGTTCATTTTGATGGTGAGGCAGCGCTACCATCTGGTCCTGTAACTCAGAGGTTCGAAATTTCATAACCTGAGCATCCTTGTTGGGAGTATAGATAAAAGTTGTTTGGATTGTATACACCCAGGGTGTGGCTTCAGGCATCTGAAATAGTCACTGTGGTAGGGTTAACTCTAGTGAGGATTTCTGAATCTCAGCAATGTTGATGTTTTGAGCGTCATGTGATTCTTTGTTGTGGGGGGGGGGGGTCCTGTGCAGTGAAGGATGTTAGCAGCATCTCTACCCGTTAGATGCCAGTATTTCCACCCCAGCCTGGCAACCAGCAATATCTCCAGACATATTGCCAAATGTCCCCAGGGGACAAAATCACGCCAGTTAGGAACTACTGCCCTAACCTAACAAAAGGTGACCTTTCACAGGCAAAACCAAACTGTAGAGTTAGATTTCAGAAGAGAAGTTGCCTCTGAAGGAGGGAGGGGAATAAGCTGGAAAGGGACACGAAGGAACTTTTTAGGCTCTCGTTGGGTGGTTGTTACATGAGTGGATGTGTTAATCGAAACTCTTCTAAATGTATGTCTATGGTTTGTGATGTGTGATGATGCCTCAGGTTTTTAAAAATAATAATTTATAAAAGGTAATATTTTCCCCTTAAAAGATAGAGATTTGGCTTGTTACAGAGCCATGTCCCTGATGGATTCAAGACATTCTGAAGCTGCTTGGAATGGTTATTTCTTGCCCTCGTTCTTGGCATCTTCAGGGCAGGGCTGGAAGGACAGAACTGAAAGCTCAGTCCGCATTGTGAAAAGGGCTGCTCTTTGTGTTTCCTTCCTGGATGTACTTCCGAGGACGCCAAGATGTTGCAGAAGCCTTGACCTGAGGCGTGAGGGAGTCAGCAGGTTTCCTGCCAGGTGTCTCACTCAGAGTGACAGTACTGGCCTCACGCTTCCTTCGAGGGTCTCATCACAGCTGTGTTAATAACACTAAACACTTTTCATGTGTTAACTTCACTTAATGCTTGCAACAGCTCCATGGGATGGATGGTATTATTATCCTAGTTTTGGAGGTGATGAAATGGAGACTCAGAGAGGTTAAGCAATCTTCCTAAAGTCACACAGCTAAAGCCAGGATGTACATGAAGGCAGCAGGCACTGGAATCCATGCACTTAACCATTACCCTGCATTCCTCCCTGAGACCAGTAAGTTAGCCTCATGGCTCTGCATGTGCTGTTCATCTGGGCCAAAATCTCCCGAATTCACCTTGTTGTGACCCACCTCCCCTTTTGAATCTTCCTGCCCAGCTCGTAATCCCTCCTTCCAGGTCCACCTTGATCCCTCCTTCCAGATCCACCTTACGTATCACTCTTCCACCCCAGAAGTGCTCTCTTTTTTGAAGAACTGTTAATTTTCATAAGCAATTATTAATTGCTTGCTAGGGAGTAGTTTCGTTGGGTGCTAGGAAAGATACACAGACATGCTTCATTTCTTCAAGAAGATCTGCACGGTTCAATATGGTAGCCATAGCCACATATGACTATTTACATTAATTAAAATACATAACATTTTCCATCTTTCATTTGTACTGCCCACAATTTCAAAGTGCCCAATAGCCACGTGTGGCTGTTAACTATTGTTTTGGACCACACAGATACAGAACATTTTGAGAATTCCCTGGCGGTCCAGTGGGTTAGGACTCTGCTTTCACTGCAGGGGGCACGGGTTCAATCCCTGGTCGGGGAACTACGATCCCACAAGCCTCGCGGTGTGGAAGAAAAAAAAAAAGAAAAAATGAAAAAGATATAGAACATTTCCATCACTGCAGAAAGTTCTGTTGGACATCAGAGGTACGCATCAGAGTTCAGCAAACTTCGGCCTCCAAGTCAAGTCTGTTCTGCCACTCTGCTTTGGTAAATAAAGTTTTTACTGGGACACAGTCACACCTATTTATTTACATATCCTCTGACTGTTTGGAGGCTGCCGAAACAGAGTTGAGTAGTTGTAACAGAGATCAGCTGGCCTGCAAAGCCAGAAATATTTATTATTTATCTCTTTCTTTCAGAAAAAGTTTGTCAGTCCCTGGTCTAGATCAAGCAGGGAATGGGATGCACTGGAGAACTGCAGATGATTCTTTATAAGAAACTGAGGGACTTCCCTGGTGGCGCAGTGGTTGAGAGTCCGCCTGCCGATGCAGGGGACACGGGTTCGTGCCCCGGTTCGGGAAGATCCCACATGCCACGGAGCGGCTGGGCCCGTGAGCCATGGCCGCTGAGCCTGCGCGTCTGGAGCCTGTGCTCCACGACAGAAGAGGCCACAACAGTGACAGGCCCGCGTACCACAAAAAAAAAACAAAACAAAAAAATCACAACAGAAACAGAAACTGAGGCACAGGCTTAATGGTTTAGCTGGAGAGGTGAATGACAGCTAGGTCCTGAAGGACCTGGTGTGCCTGCATTTCTCAGAGTGTGCTCTGAAGAATACCAGTCCAATGAAGTGCTATGCAGAGGGCTCCATGGCCAAATAAGTTTCAGAAGTGCCAAATACTGGTCCCACTTCCTCAAGGTTCACAGGTACATTAAAGGCTCTGAGAAGTCCTGCAGTAAAAAAAAAATGTGTTGTCTTTTGCATAACCCCAAAGGTATTTTACCAGCAAGTCATTTTTCCTTCTAATACTTTGGTTAACATTCTGTAGAACTGGGGTTATTTGAAACAGACTTTGAGATACTTGGGCTTAGGGGGAACCATTGAAGGCTTTTAAGCAAAGGAGTGACGTGTTCAAATGTGCTCTATAAGTTGTGGTCCTTGATGTAAATCAACTATACTTCAGTTTTTTTTTTTAATTACAGAAGAAAAAAATCACAGAAGCCAAAAAAATAAAAGTTGTGGGCCTTGCTACTTTTTTGGCACATCTCTCAATGGCACTAGCTGTACTTAGTGTTATGGTAGTTGTGAACTTGTCCAAACCAAGCCCAACTATTCTCTTTGAAGTCAGGTATTGTCTTACTCATGTTTATATCTTATAAAGCTCCTTCCTGGCTTTAGGCCCATAGTAAACTCTCAATACATTTTCGGGATTGAAATGAATTGATTGGCAGTTACAGCACAGGCACTTGTTGTGAGGTCATTGGTCTTCCTCCTTAATTAGCTCCTTGACGGAAGCTGGCGTCCCCAAATTGGAGGAGCAGGCAGGATGCAGAGCAGAACTCTGAAGGTGGGGAAATATTTTAGGCTGTCACAAAGTCTAGAAATCTGCAAATGAGAGCCTCCACTGCACACGCTCTGCTTGCCTGTGGTGCCATCCCTGGCGACTCACTGGCTGCGCCAGTATCAGGTCAAATTAATGTAGCATTTAGTCCTGAGTCACCAGAAAGACCCCCACAGCCTCGCCCCACCTCCCAGCCACTGAGACATCAGCCCTGCATGGGCCCTGGTGAGTTAAGGAGCCTTCAGACCCAAAGCCACTGCATTTCTTCTCCCTTTCTGCTTTGGAAGGAAAACTAGTTTGGTATTTTGTGGGGAGGACAGAGCCACAACAAACTTATTTTATTCTTATGTGGTCTCCTTTAGATTCAGTGCTCTCCTGGGGACCTTACTTGTACAGCATGGTAAGTAGATGAGTCCCCAACTCTGCACCTTCTGTGGTTAACAGCCCAGCTGACCTCTTCTGGCTCTGTCCGAAGGAAGGACAAAGCTAGCTGGGTTTGCCTGTGTGGTAGACATTGCCCCTTAGGGACTTATCAAATAATCCATATCAAATCAAAGACCCTAAGCAACAGCCGGCCTTGGGGACAAATTTAAAGAAATATCAGCACAGTTATCCCATTTCTCCAGGTACAAGAAATGCACATTTTAAAATCCCCCCCCCGCAGCTTTTTATTACAGACATTTTCAAATATGCAGAAAAGTTGAAAGATCATGGTGAACACCCATATACCCATCACTTAGACTCAGTTACCATTTTCCTATATTTCTGTCATCAATAAACAGCATTTATAATGCTGTGCTTTCATATGGACGGTCCCCTTTCTCCTTCCTGCCACTCTTTCTGCTACCCATCCCTAACTGGAGCAATGCCAGATTTGTGTCTCTCACAAAGTGGGTCTTTTAGTTCTTGCTTTGCGTTCTAGTCTCTTCTCGACGACCAAGGTCTGGCAGAGGTGTCTCGGGTTGCAGAGCAAGTCCTGGATGCCATAAATAAGAGACTCTACAAAGAGGCCACCGAGCTGTGGGGGAAAGCAGAAATGGTCATTGAACAGGTAAGAGGGGACACGCTCGGGGCCAGCCTGCTTGGCTTTTCCCCTTGGGTGAAGGGACCTTGGTTGGTGTTGTTAGGATTGGGATCCATCCTGAGACTGCCCACAAGTCGAGAAATGATGTCAAACTAAACGATAAATCTGACGAGTGAGCAAAGACAGGGTCAGAAAGTCACCCACCCTGCAAGACTTGCCTGCCTCTTAACTGAAGGTATGGCTTCTGTAAAAAAGAATATGTCCCACAGAGGCAAGTGTTTGGATCCTTGCGTAGCAGTGTTTTGGCCCCAGTGAGCCAGGAGGGAAGAATGCACAGGCTGAGGACTTGAGTACGTAGCTCGGTTTTCCCTGGTAATTAACACACAGGCCCTTGGTTTCCTCCTGCGGCATCAGAGCTCCACTCGGATGAGCTGCTCACTATGCCAGGAGACTGGGCTGACACTGCTGGTCTCTGAGCCTTAAGGGCTACGTTTCTTTCTGGTCCGAGCAAATGTACAGAGTTAAAGCTGTCCTCGGATAAGGTGGAGAGCCAGGTGCCGTTCTGTTTTGCAACTTTGATAATGAATGAATAAAACAAACAGCCAAATATATTTCTTCTGTATTTCAGAACACAGACGGGGTGAACTTTTATAACATCTTAACTAAGGCGACTCCCACGTCTACCGTGAAATCGAGTCTAGAATTCACCCAGAGCCACATAGGTGAGTGGACCTTGAAGTTGCTAGACCCTGTCTCAGCCTCCGTGTGAGAGGAAACCAAATTTTTAAAAAGCCTTATTGATATATAATTTACATACCATAAAATTCACCCATTTTAAGTGTGTAATTCCATGGTTTTTAGTTTATTTACAGAGTTGTGCACTCATCACCACAATCCAGTTTTAGAACATTTCCATCACCCCAGAAAGATCCCACATGTCTGTCTGCAGTCAATTTCTGTTCCTACTCCCAGCCCCAGGCAACCACTAATCTGCTTTCTGTCTCTCTACATTTGCCATTTCAGGACATTTCACATAGATGGAGTCACGCACTAGGTAGTCTTTTGCATCTGGCTTCTTGCACTTAGATAGTGTTTTGAAGTTTGGAAACCAGCTTCTGCACATTGAATTACGATGTCAGTTCTCCTAAAGGCTGGATTGAGTTGTCTTCCCTGCGGGTGCTGAATGCCTGGTATCCTCCCGCCACGTAGAAGCTGCAGGAGGCCTCTAGATTCCGCTGAGCTGATTGCCTTTGGCCGTGCTGGGTAATCTCAGTGGCCCCAGAGTACATCAAATGCAGCAATCAAAACCAATAAAGCATCTCCACTTTGAACATGTTCCTGACTCCCCCCACCCCCCCGCCATCTGGGGGGAATCAGGGGGACACTTTTCTTTTTCCAGGTGCAGGCCTCCCTCTTACACACAGCATCCCCGGCAGCTTAGAAAAGAGGTTCTCTTGGTCTTATTTCCAGTCCTTTGACTCACCGTGTACCAGTTTGTTTTAGTTCATCTTTTCCAGCACCACGTGAGACACTTACAGCAGGATGCTTTAAGTCAGCTCATGAATGGTCCCATCAGAAAGAAGCTCAAAATTATTCCTGAAGATTGCTCCTGGGGAGGTAACTTGTGTGACCTAATTAAAGCGTCTTTTGTAGAGCTGGGGGGATGAAAAAGGTGGAAATTCAAAGGCCTTAATCTGTTGAATGGACTTTGGTGGTGGCTGTAGTGTGTTGCAGGTAGAACAGTATTGACATTGATAGATGAGCAAACATAGAAAGACAGTAAATAACAGGACAAAATTGGTTCAAAATCGGGGGTGGGTAAGGGAAGTGGGTGGGGAGAGAAATGAAGTAACTTTTTATAAAGTGGAAGCCAGCAGTGAGTACATGGGAATCATCACACCCTCCTCTTTACTTTTGTATCAGTGTGAGGTTTTCCATAATAAAAAATTGAGGTTAAAAAAGCCATGCCCAGGGCTTCCCTGGTGGCGCAGTGGTTGAGAGTCCACCTGCCAATGCAGGGGACACGGGTTCGTGCCCCAGTCCGGGAAGATCCCACATGCCATGGAGCGGCTAGGCCCATGAGCCATGGCTGCAGAGCCTGCGCGTCCAGAGCCTGTGCTCTGCAACGGGAGAGGCCACAACAGGGAGAGGCCCGCGTACCGCAAAAAAAAAAAAAAAAAAAAAAAGCCATGCCCAAGGCCACAGTTGGTTATGGGTGAGACTTCCAGACAAAGGTCCTTTCGGACAGGGTTTGAGAAGCTCTCTCTGGCTGGCCTCTGCAGGCATCTTGATGTAGATGTGGTCTGGCATCTATTGCATTCTGGTCTGAAGGTCATAGTGGGGAAATACTGAGGTCCTCAGGGACCGAGACCAGGTAGAAATCTAGCCTAAGTTCCTGCTCAGTCTTTTTTTTTTTTTTTTTTTTTTTTAATGGTACCTATGAAATTTACTCAGATCAGCTTTCAAACACAGAAACACTCACTTCCTTGAGGAGCAGAATGTAACATGCTAAAGAATAAACACTTTTTTATCTGATTGAAGTACCAAGGGAAGCACTCAGGTTATGGAGGAAAATTCTACGCTTAGATGGCTTCCATTCTCATCTTTCTAGAGAAAGTAAGGTAAGCTTCTAGGAGCAAGTTTATAAACTACCAGTGGATGATTGCAATTCATCTTCTCTGGCATTAGGAAACAATCGCCCTGGTAACACTGATAATACAAACTACATTATGCACAACTAAAAACAGGGAGCCAAAGAAATTTCTCATAATTCAAATGCAACGGTCTGTCCCAAGAACACACAAATGATGGCCTGTTCTTTTCTATTCAGGATACTGTGATTGTCCAGTCCTGCTCAGTCTTATAGGGAAGCCATGAGTAAGTGGGACTCCCAGACTCCTGGAGGGGAAACACTCAAGCTGAGGAGGGTTTTGTTCATGTCTAAGAGACCCCAAAGCTATGCCTCTGTTAGGGCAGAACGTTGACAGTGGCGGAGAGGCTGGGACTTGGCTCTGGCCCTGGCTTCTTCAGGGGACACGGCCATCCTCCCAACACGTAGTCAACAGAGGACTCGTCCTAGACCTATTGTCTTCATTTCCCCCTCGTCCCTTAGAGTTTTCTAGAAATGAGGGAAAAGTTAGCTCAAACAAAAGAATGTGGTGTCAGAGCTTTAAGGGGTACAGACACCCATGGGAGGTTGGACGCTGAGAAGGAGGAGATGTGAGCACCCCCAGGAGGCCAGGTGAAGGTCAAACTCACAAGAGCACATCTTTTCAGCTCAACCCCCTCATCTTACCTTCATGACAGTGTTGTCCAGCCCCAGCTTCTCTCGTTATAGGGACCCTCCCTCCCTGCCCAATGTGGCTAGACGGGCGAGCCAACTACACTTTTGCTGCAGATGAAAACTGATAAGAGCAAACTCTCCCTGGCTCAGGTGTGCCTGTGTATGGGTCTGGAAAGGACAGACTGTCCTTTCCGGGTACCCTCAGTGTCCCAAGTCCAGTTTGTAGTTAAGGCCTACATACTTCGGAGTCAGCCAGGCCTGCGTTCCGGTCCCAGCTTGCCACTGGCTGTTTCACCCAGGGCATGTTGCTCAGCCTCTCTGAGCCTTATTTTCTTTAGCCATTGCACAGGCTAAAGAACCTAACCTCGCAGGGTTGGTGAAGGAAGGAGGCAATGGGATGTTGCTTGCAGAGTGCTTACTTAGCACAGTGACTGGCAACTAAAAATCAATGATGGCTGCTGCCGTTGTTCAGTACATACGATGACAGTGATGGTCAGGGATCCAGCAAGAAGGCTGTGCGGACCGCCTCCTCTCTTGCCTAGGGCTAGTCATCCATGTGACTTTACCAAGGGCCAGCTCCGAATTGGTTTAGGACTGATTTGTTGATTACTAAGGTAGTCCTGCTGGTTCAGAGCTTAAAACTTGGCCCTGAAAAAGCAAAAACAAAGCAAAACAAAAAAACCTTGTCTCTGGTGTGACTCAGCAAAGGAGGAAAACTAATGCTGGCCCCAAATCAGTTTGTCCCCTGAGAGGACCAGCCCAATGGGTATTTTCTTTTTTTTTTTAATTTTATTTATTTTTTTGGCTGCATTGGGTCTTCATTGCTGCACGCGGGCTTTCTCTAGTTGTGGAGAGTGGAGGCTAATCTTTATTGCGGTGCGTGGGCTTCTCATTGTGGTGACTTCTCTTGTTGTGGAGCACGGGCTCTAGGCACGCAGGCTTCAGTCGTTGCGGCATGTGGGCTCAGTAGTTGTGGCGTACGGGCTTAGTTGATCCACGGCACGTGTGATCTTCCCGAACCACGGATCGAACCCGTGTCCCCTGTGTTGGCAGGCGGATTCTTAACCACTGCGCCACCAGGGAAGTCCTTCAAAGGGTATTTTCTAAAGCTCCCTGTTTCCTTGGGTGTTAGCTTTCTCTGGGATTCCATCCCTCATGACAAATGGCGTCTGCTGTCATCACAAGCACCTGGATGAACAGACACGTGTGCTGTTTGGGCTCCCCTTCTACGTGGCCAGCTCGGGGCACAGATTTCTGGGCCAGCTGGTCCCTGTTGGTGAAGCAGCTGTGTATTCAGTCTTTGTTAGGTGCTGCACGGTGGTCACTTTTGGGTGCTGGGTGCTCTGGGCTGAAAGGTGCGTCTTGTTCTGGCAGGTTCCAAGCTGCTACCTCTTTCTCCTTCCCCTTGTACAGGCCAGGCTGCCAGCGTCTTCCTGAACATGGAGGGGGACTTCATGAAGCCAGTCATCAGCATTGTGGACGAGCTGCTGGAAGCCGGGGTCAATGTGACCGTGTATAATGGACAGCTTGACCTCATCGTGGACACCATGGGTAGGAACCACTCGGGGCCCATGGAGGCAGTGTCATGGGTTGAGCTGGAAGGGAACTGGCCTCTTGGGGGACTGTTGACATTGAAATGGCAGGAGGAAGGCCATTTCCTGTTACATGCATCCACCCCTGACCTTGACTCTTTGAAGAGGGTAGGGCTGCCCGAGGTTGTGACCCCTCAGAGAAGCCTGGCCTGTCCAGCTTTTGAGGCCTTAGGTATGATTACAGAAAAGGATAATACCCACGCCCACCTCGAAATTTAAAAAGAAGACATTTCCCTAGCCACTGGACAGAGGCACCATTTAACTGAGGGAAAACCTCGTTTTTGTGCAGTGTCACGGGATGGTAAAGCACTGCAGCATGAATCAAGACAGCCCTGCTGACCCTGTAAAGATGAGGACCCAGGGGAAATGGTCTTGGTGGGGTCCTTTCCACATTGGCTGCCACCTGTGCCCACCTCTGGTTTCAGGGAGGGCCAGGGAGAAGCTCAGGCAGGTTCTCAGAACTGGCAGATAAATTGAGGCACGTGGTCTGGCGGGTGTGAGCATTCCTCAAAGTCAGCATGATTGAATATTTTTGCGACTTGGGAGCCAAGGGTACTGAGGACGATTTGAAAAGGTTCTGTGTTTCTTCCACGACCTCCCTGATGTGATCCAGCATCTCCTTACCCTGTGGCTTCTCTGTCCTCCTGACAGTGCCGTCCACCTCCAGAGGTCCCCGATTTCCTTCCTACAGAGTGTAGGGCAGTGGGAGGGTCAGGGGCAAAAAGTAGTCACAGCTGTTAGGTTTCTCCCAGGCAGCCTGGCTGTGGCTGGGACACCCAGTGCCACAAATGCAGAGTCCCAGGCCCTGCCCAGACCTACTGCATTGGAATGTGCATTTTAACAAGACCCCAAAGTGAGTTTTATGTACATCCCAGCTTGCAGATTCCATGCTGAATCATGGACCCAGATTTTGGGTTCTTCTCCACTCAGCTCGTAATGCTGGGCCCTTCTTTATCCCCCTCGCCAGGTCAGGAGGCCTGGGTGCGAAAACTGAAGTGGGCAGAACTGCCCAAATTCAGTCAGCTGAAGTGGAAGCCCCTGCACAGTGACCCTAAGACTTCAGAAACGTCTGCCTTTGTCAAGTCCCACAAGAACCTGGCTTTCTACTGGATTCTCAGAGCTGGACACATGGTGAGAGAGGGTCAGCATTTCTTCCAGATTTGCCACTCGAGTAGGGGGTGGAGGAGCCACACGCACTGGTCTCATAAGTGCATTGGGTTTGGGGGTGTTTTGGGGTCGCTAATGAAACTCTATTTGTGCTTCATTGAAAACATAAATCCTCCTGAGAGACTTAGGCTGGGTTCTCTATCCTCTGCTCTTTTGTTTAAATGAGTTGAATGTTACTTTCCTCTGGACAGTTTGTCCTGAAGGAACAATTTGTCCCGAGGGAGGGAGGGAGAAGTTGTCTTTCCCTGACATTTTAAGGGAGTGAAATCAGAGCTCAGTGGTCTGTAAGGCTGAGCACAGTGCAGAGTACAAGTGCAGAGCTCAGTGGTCTGTAAGGCTGAGCACAGTGCAGAGTACAAGTGTTTGTGAGGAGCAGTGGCTCTGGAACTTCAGTTCAGAAGAGGCTTCACCTGCAAAGATGGGCACTGAGGCTGCAGCACTCTTGCACTTGCCTAGTGAACACGGTGTTTTCCCTTAGGCTGTAGGTGGACTGAGTAGCTTTCCCTGGGCGGAGGGAGATTATGGAGGGATGGATCCACCATGCAAGCACATGCACACACGTGTACACGCATACACACACAGACTACCTGCAAAGGAGACAAAGGCAGGAA